AACTCTGGCCCACGTCATTAGTGAGCCAATCAGGTAGATTTTATGCAAACACAATTAGGGCTTGCATGACTCAGTAGCTGCTGTTCTTGCTCTCTCCTTCCAGCATTTATTTGGAACCCACTTCAGCATAAAGCAGATACTGAGGCATGTGGGCACTGGCTCCGTTTCCATAAAGTCACTTTTTAGCAAATTGCCTTCACATGCCCTGATTGTGCATCAATAGTCTAGATCTGTATATTCAAGCTAAACCCATAATACAAAGACAATTTATTTGAAATTAGGAGATTACTGAGAGAGCTGACAGTCCAGGTAAGAATAGGGATGTTTCATTTGTAAGACAGATTTTGCTGAAGTTATAAAATGATGATATAGCTGCTCTGAAACTGGTAATAACAAATGATTTCTAGTATCAGTCCAGAACTACAGCATGTAAGTGAGAGAGAAATTCTTTTGGCAGGTACCAGGGCAGCATTTAGGAGCTGAGATTTACCCTGAAAGATAAATGGCTGAAGAAAAAGATCAAGAATGTCTCTAATTGAGGACCAAATTGCTGTGTTTATAGATTTCTCAAAGTTTTGTTGCTGCTCATCGCAATGAGACAGACTTGGCCCCAACTCTGTCCTCTTGCTGACATGGTTGCAGGGACTGATGCACGTACATGTGTCAGGAGGAGAGCAAGCATAAAAATGTGTTTAAAACTGAAGATGACACCAGAAAAGTCAAAGGATCAGGATGCTGGATTTGCATGTTTGTGATGGCTATTTTTGCAAACTATTTTGCAAGGCGTGCAAAGGGAATGCAGRGAATGCTTTCTAGAGAGGTACAAGGGCCTCTGTGTGGGCACAGTGTTCATTTCTGCTAATATTTAGAGGGCTGGATTCAGAAGGAATGATCAGATCATGAAATGGACTTTTTTACAYTCTGTGTCTGTAACCCTAGTTTGAAGGTCAAAGAGATTTTACATTTCAGAAATCCTCTTTCTGGCACTACCAATTGCATGTAGTGCCAGCTAACTATCTTCTGATACCTGTAAAGTTGGTGCTGATGTGTAAAGGACAGAGTAAAGTGAGGGATGAGTGATGAACATGGGGTCTCTCCCAAACAAGGCGTTAGGAGGGGGCCCAGACCTTGGTCCAATTTGAACCAACAAGAGAACCAGAGACTGCAGCAACTTTTGCTGCAAATTATAGACTTAACCTGTTGGAGACAGTAAGTCTGAGTGCTTTGATCAGCAATAAAATGACAAAGAACTATCAGAGTGTCCAACCTGGAAAGAGCTGATAAAATGTTCAGGGTCATCAGTTAAAATATCCTTGTTGATGATGGGGAAGTGTTTGTAGTAAATGTAGTTTAAAAATCTAGTTTAGTTAAAAATCAAAATCTAGTTTAGAATGATTGCCAACTTGAGAAAAACTGCAAATAGGTGAGGCTGAAAAACAACCATGTTTTTAGTAAACTAAGAACATTTCAAGTCTGTCAGACTCTGTACATCAAGGACAAGGTCCTTTCACAGCCRCTAGCCACTACCCAAAAATCCGCAGTTCTTATTAAAGAACATTTGTCAGCTCCAGTGAATTATCCTCTAATTAGAGATCAATCTTTTATAAACTAAACATATTTCCAAAAAAAGGCAACCTACAGTAAGTCATCTTGAAGAGACAAACTTGGAGGAAAAATGTATGTTTCTCTCTGTGCAGAAAATATTACAACAATTTATCTTTTTATGTTGTAGTGAATCTCTAGAAAGGATGTAAAGCAAGAAAAAGTAATGGGGATGTCAGATATTAAGTTTAGAATTGTAGCACTTCGTTTATAAGTTGACAGAAACCAAAAGGTTCCAAAAAGTCTATTTTGTCTGGAGGCAAATGGCTTAATCGTATGTGTCATTTTGCATGTGTAATTGCACATGCAATTTTGTAATTTTGCATGTGTAATTGCACAGTGGTGGTTATACAGCTTAGACCTAGAGGTAGGGTTCCCATTTTGCAGATCCTCACTCCTTTCTGCACAGGAATTATCATCAGCCTTAGGCCAAGAATGTATATGAGAAATTTGCCTATTCTCAGGCCTCATAGCCTAGAACTGGGACATTTTCAACAAAAATACTATAAAAATCATTTTGAATCCAGAGCTATAAAGAAATCTACGTATATGCAAATGCATGAATACTTCTTCTCAAAAGAAGTGGAGAAAGAAGAGGCCAACCAGAACTGCTGTAATGCTGCAATATGCAATTATCACTGTTAATGGATATGGTATCATTCTCGGTATTTAAGTAGAGTAAATGCATGGGTCATAAAGCAACTTGCCGTAAGAGCAACTTGCAGGTTTAAAACATGTTGGACGTGTCTTCTGCAGGTGTAAATCAGCCTTGCTGCACTGTTGTCAATGGAGCTGTCCCTGTTTGTTGCAGCCAAGGATCTGTCTCATTAGGTTCATCTGACAYGCTGTGTTGGAAACTGTGTCTTTTGCAAGCTTTACAGTTTTTGTTGCCAAAAAGTTTTCAACCTTGAGARAGCGAAAGAAATGTGTGACAAAACAATTGTACTTTGGGGATAAAGCATCTCCTAAGAAAATCTGTTTTTCCCTGTCCAGTTGCCAAGTGCTTCCTCCCACATAAGCAATTGAAATCTCATTTGAGCAACTTAGCGTGAATAGTATAACTGTTTTAAAAAAAAGTATAGTCTGAACAGCCATCTTAAGTGTTTAAACCAGTCTTTTCTCAGACCCAAGGGTAATAGCTGCTGACCTTCTCTCAAAGACAAGTTCTGGCCAAATGTGAGGTTGCCAGGAAGTTTGGCAGCCACTTTAAAAACAAACTTTTGTTCTTCCTTTTCCCTCAAGCACCCAAACAGCCGAACTCCCAAACATACTGCGAAGTTGGTCATGCACTGTTTTTCCCTTTCTGTGGTCAATAAAAAGATATTCATAAGAATACAGAGTATTTCCTTAGTAGCAGAGTCTGACAGTGATCATGAGGATAATGAGCATCAATAGCACTCTCGGTTTCTGCAAAGAGATAACATACTCTTCAAAATTTAGAATGACAGATAACTTATGTTTTACTTTGTCTTTTAAAACTGAAGTAAAAAGTAAATTTAAGATATTTTTGTTATCTGCTGCACAGGATTTTTATGCATTGAAGGCTTTGTTATTGCAACATGTATTATAGCAAGAAGAGTCCTAATTTACCCCTATTGATTTTAACTTTGCCTTATATTTTATACTATAAGCAAGCATCTTCAAAAATCAATATTTTTACATTTTGACAAATCAGTCTCGTGTGGCTGGCTCTACCTATCAATTGCTGACTTTTGAGTAGCCATAAAATTTAAGCAAAAAGGARAGCTCGTCAGCACAAAACCTTCTCCCATCTTCCCTAATGCTGCTCACAGTAAGCCTCATTGAACGGGTATGATATGTGCTTTCCGTTAGATGATCAATATTTGAATTTAAGGGCACATTTGAAGTCACAACATTCTGGGATGTCTGGTACCTTAAACTGTGTAATTTAACAATAACACGAGGGAGAAACTTTCCAGTATATTAAACTTTAAGAGCATAATAAAAGTACGRATGACCACTAACATCCTTGTTTTACAGGCAGAGAAATGAGGTATGTTGAGGTGGCAGGAAGGCCATATAGCAGATTAGTGACATTTCTTCACATTGATGTGCAGCTTCTGCCTCTGGCGCTATATGGTGGAGCACACGTCTGAGAAAGAAGCAGATGGCCTGTTTGGGCTCAAAATTCTTCCTAGTGGAAGTCCCCGACTGCCATCGTTGCACCAGATTTCGGGAAGTTCTGCTTCATTGCTGCTTGGGCTTTTGCCATTGACTTCAACAGCTGCAAAGACATCTCCAAAATAAATTGAAATTATGCTAAAAAAAGGGCTGCTTCCATTAAAACTTCCATAAGGCAACATTAACTTTTGTGACCAGCACTTAGCAGGTCATCTTGGGTCCCACTAAATTGGCAGGACTAAGCAGATTTTAATTTTAATAATGAGAAGCTGTCAGACAAATAATTTCTACTGCTGTTTATTCACAAATGTAAATTCCTCTAACAGCCATTCAGAGCTCTGAAGGACACCTGCTGTTGTTTAATTTCATACAGCAAATGCATATATTCTGGTTTTGTGCCTCTGCCACTGAGGAACATCTGTCTCCTCGTGTTCTCCTTCAGGGGCTTGAGGAAGGAGGACAGGGACCATTTGGGGATCTTCAGGAAACCTGACCTGAGCCATGAAAACTTGCCCAGTAGGCAAATAGCTGAGACCAGATAGGGGAAAGAGAAAGACAAGGATCCAGATCTTGTTTCCCATTGATTTCAGCTGAAAAATGTTCTTCAGCTGGTTTCTGCTGAGCCCATTCCCAYACCCACTCTTGTTGCAGCAAGCAGGAGCTGTGGGCGCATGAGCAACAACATCCCAGCCRAGCAAGAGCAGCTCATGTCCCCAGCTACAAGGGAAGGGGTCCTGCTCAGGGAAGCAGCCTGGCAAGGTGTAGCAGAGCATTTCCTCATGAAAAGTGTTAATGTCAAAGGAACTTTCCTGCAAAATCTTCCACATTTCTGCCAGCAGCCCTACGAGCAGCGTTGTTGCAAATGGGAGTGCAGGAAGCACAAAGGAGGAAACTGTCTTTCACCCAGAATGAATGCTGATGGCACATAGTGTTTATTGCTAAATCCATGCTGTGCCTGATAGCATCACACCAGGTAGTTACACTCAGTTGTCCATTATTCCTCACCCTTAACCAGCAGGAGCAGGAGTGTTCAAGAAGGAAATATGCAGTAACACAGGGTACAGGCTTGTTAAAAGAAGAAAGTGAATCAAGGGCACAAAATGAGATCTGGAGCCCTGCAAAATGAGACTCTGAGATACATATTGCTGTTATTTAATGACAGCATTAATCCTCATATACAACTGACAGTTTATTGCTTCCTGCTCTTACTCCACCGCAAAAGGCCCCATCCAGGTTGTTTCTTTATCTGCTTGCAGGATCAGCTGCTTTGGAGAAGTTTCTTAAGCCAACGAAGCAAACTGGAAGAACGGCTGGAGGCAGCTCTGCTCTTCCTCAGGCCCCTTGCAGCATCACACACTTCACTGACCTGTCCCTGGAACTGAGCATCTGATTCTGTATCTGCAGAGGATCCAATCCTGACCCTGTCGCTTGGAATGGATGGAGACCACGCTGGCCAAGGAGCTCACCAGGCTACTTAAAATACATGTGGCTCTGTGTCAGTTTTGATGTACTCTCAGTAAGTTATGGTGTCTTTCGAGTAAAAAATTATTTTTCTTTTGAAATTAGAAGACAGTGGCCTGATTTCTTTTTTGAGAAGGATGTCCGGGGTGGCTCCAGCTTGTGTTTCGATGCTGAAAAAGAACTCTTGTTCTGACAGGTAAGAATGGAGGGAGCCTTTCAGATTTCTAGTGCTTCTGTTTTTGTATGTCCAGCTAGAGGCCAAGGACGCACAGAGGCATGAGTTATGCCTGAAACTCCAGCTCCTGAGATTTTCTTCAACGAGGCTTCAAAACCAGCCCTGTGGCACTGTGCTTTATTGTTGTTGCTTGTCATTGCTCCTAATTGCTAGGCTGCCTGAGCTGGAAATCTCCTGCCTCACTGATGTGAGGGATGAGGATCATTTGTCTAATGGTGCAGCACTACCCTCTTAATAGTTAATAATATTCATTAATATATAAAAAATGATAGCAGGACACTGATTGGATTGCTTTAATATGAACTATGTATACATGGAAGAGCTCAATAGATCTGGCTTGCATCTAGTTTCATTGCACTTTTGTAGGATTACCTGGACCCTCTTGAAAGCTGTGAACAGTCCTGCAGTTTCCCATCAAGCTGAATGTCACATTACTAAGACTATAATATAGAGCAGCTGAAAAGGTAAAAATGCTCTGTGAACAAAGGCTTCAGTAATGAACTATGACATTAAGAACTAAAATCAGGATATATTTGCTTTGGAGGTAAGAACAAGGCATAATAATACTTTCGGGTTTATTTCCCACTCAGAGGACAGGATACCATTCATACTCATTCTGTTTTTGTGCTTAGATGCAAACCTGAATCAAGCCAGAGAGACCTTGTTTTGTAGAGATGTTAAGTGACTTTTCTTTTTCTAATAAAAGGGCTCTGCTAAGTAATTCTGACCATTTAATTGGAAAATACTCTGCACTGCTCTGCCTGACCCCTCTGAGCAAGGCAATATTATCATCAGCATGCAGAAAAGTCCCTGAGAGAAAGCATTCATTCAGCATGTCTTTAATAGAGTAAAAGTAAGGGGGCAGAAGTGAACTTTCAGGTGCTCCTTCAGTCGAACCACCTGTTTCTCTGAAGGTGCAAGTCCTCCTGTCTGCTTCCAGGGATGTGCCGAATTGCATTATCAGCTGCTGGGAATGCGCAGAGCTGGTGCAGAAATTAGAGCATCTTGCAGCATCATATGTTTATTTTGCATTTAAGAATATCACTCTCCACATTATCTGTAATAATGTATATTGGTCAGTACATTTAAATAAGGCATCAGAAGTGGAATACGTGGGGTGGAATCCACGTTGGGAAGCATGTGGCACAGGCAGAATCACAACAGAGCTGTAAGGAATCTTTAAAGCAATTCTGGACAATGAAGACAGGGAAAAAAAAGTGTGATATAAAATTCACCAGTTTCTGCTTGGTGGCTTGAAATTTATTGTAGGCTTTCTTTGAGGTTTCCTSCTGACTTTGTCACTAGGACTAAACGCTGATTTTGTCTCCATTTGGGTCAAGTGCCTGTCAGTGCATGARGACAGCTGGGGTGGCCAGTCTAGTGGCAGCCAGAGCGGGGCCGCTGGGCCCTGCCTGCACTGCCCTGCACTGCTGCAGCCAGGCCAGGAACTGATGCCCTCAATGCAGATATCACCACAGCTGTAAAAAAATGGTCCGGTCCTGAAACAAATTAATTTCCACTGAAAATAAAAAGGTTTTGCTGTTTTGTCAAAATGTTGTGTTTCTTTTAGATTAATGAAGTCTTCCCTGATGACAGTTTTAAATCCAGAATGCAAAAACACCTTGGATATTGGTAGCTTTGCATTTTGGCATGAATGTCTTGCCCAGTCATTAATATTATGGGCCACTGGTCTTCTGTCTTCACTGGGATACGAGGCATCGCTTTTGTTACAAATAGGAAACATGCAGTTATTTTCTATGCATAGGGGAAGCACTCTGTACTCATAGAAAGATGAATTATGTAGTCCAAACAGGTGACACATAGTAGATGTTGTTGCTTTCCATAACCTGAGATGTAACCCAGCTGTGCCCTTTGCTTTTGCAGATGTCAGCTGTACCATCTGCTGATGAAAAAAAAAATGTGCATCACTGTGGAAACACTGAGCAGGTCTGTGGTCTTTTCTGCACTCTGGTCAGACTGCGTATTTTTAAATAACATGACCTTTATTGATTCTTACAAAAATGAACTCTGCAAGATGGAAAACTTGAAACAAATACTGTCACAGTTTCCTTTTAGTTTAAAGAATACAATTACATTATAGAAGTGTTAAAATTAGGAGAGAGGAAAAAGCTTTAGATTGTTTGAAAACATTCAGGACATCCAAAGGGGAAAAAAAAAAAAAAAAAGGAAAAAAAAAGCCCCAAAAACCACGGCAGAAACAACTGAAAACAGAGATTTGATAAAAGAGACAGTGATGGGATGGCAAAAACACTTTTTCCATTGAAGTCAGTTTTGGCATTGCCTTCCATGAGAGGGGATTTCATCAGCTTCAGTGTTTAATACACCAGAATTTTATTGCTTTCTGCGTTAAGAACGTTGTGGCCCGAAACCTTTCTCTTTCTGGTCAGCATAAACTCACTCTCGTAGCTAGGTGTTGTCAAACACTGGCAGGGAGACATTGAAGGGGAAGTGGAAATGCCTGCTGCCTGGCAGTCTTCCCATTTTCTGTTGTTAGGCCAGCTGTTTTCTGACACTTCTGAAGAAAGTGCTCTGGCTGTGCCATCTCCAGGAACCCCTAAAATGGGGTGTCTCAGTCCTGAGGGCTAAATCCCAGACTTCCAGATAAGCTTCCCCCCCGCTCTCCTCTTGCTTTTTTTTGACAGCAAGAAGACAGGCTAGAAAACGTGAAGCATTTTTCAGCCTCTAGCCTTGTTTATGTGCTGCCCCTGCTGAATTGTATAGAACCTTCAGTTGTAGTCTGTATTAGCCACCAGCAGCAGACAAACCGAGGATGTCCTGTGCAAAAAACATGGGAGCAATGGCTTGATACTGTAAAGGACATATTCAAGTTTCTCCTTTTTCATTCAATCAAATTCTAGGTGACTCTGGAAGGAACATGCCATGTGGATTAGCTCATGACTAGATACCTCGGTGCACTGGAGTGTTCCTTTTAAACYGTGTTTTTTATTGTGCAGTCCTGTGCCATTGGTGACATAATGAAGTATCAAAAAAGTGTGTATGTACTCAAATCACTCACATATAACTTTGGAAAACATGTACCTGTGCTTCCCAGATGGGTTATTTTGAAGCTAATGGCAAGAAGCTGTTTGTGCTGTTGCGTAGCTTTCAGATGTGAACTCCATTTGATTAAGTACCCCAAAGTCTAGTCTTAACTAACTGTGTTTCTAACTGAATGGAAATGCAAGACAAATTTAAGCACTACAGTGGGGCTTTTGTCAATGAAAAACAGCCAGTATTCTTCAAAAAGCCCCACACAATGCCAGGCTCTCCAAACTCCCTAAAGAAAGATAAAAATGGGAAGGTATCTTAAAAATAGAGAAATAAGGACTTGTACTCAGGCTGTTACTCTGGCCTGAGATAGATCAGCTAGTGGTACGGCTCGCTGCTGTTATTTCTCTGCCTTCCTGGCAGCCTGGATGTGCCTAATGACTGATGAAGAATCAGGACAATTTTCTATATCTGGTTAGGTAAAGGCTGCTCATGGAAGTTATGACACTTAGATTTGTGACAGCTATTTCTGAGACTGCTTCTGGGAGATGATATATTATTATGGTGGGTGAAACTATAGACTCTTCCAGAAAAGAACATTTGGTGGCTGATCTGACACAGACAGATGCTGATGTAAATGTTTAAGAAGAGTTTGTTGAACTACGTGTAGTTCATTATGTATTCGTTACAGACCTTTTGTGTACGGTAAGGTGTGTATGGTAAGCATATTTAAAGATATGCTATAGCATAGAAAACAGTGGGTGAGGAATGGGAGGGGATGGTGCCAAAACAGAGCCACTACTTTGACAAATGTTTTGCCAAGCAAGTGTAGCAAGAACAAAACTGATCAACTACATATATTCATTGCTAGTGGCTCATCTTAAATTTGCCATTTTAAGATGCTACTAAAATTAATGCTGTCCTAGGAGGTGCTCTTGCATCTAAGGATGAAATTGCCCAATTAATTAAAAAAAATCCAACAAGATGATAGGTTTTGGGAGAGAAACACTGAGCCGTTAAGTACACCAGCAGGCACTCATAAAATGGGCTCTCTCTGCAGAGGAATTTATTGTCTTTCATTTCTGCCTTGCAATAGGAACTGAACTGAAGTAGGAGTTGCAGGAACTGATCACATTTGCAAATCTTTCATCTTTCAAAAGTATTCCTTTTACCTGTGTTATTAAAAGAGCATTTTAACGAATAGATTCCTACCATAAATCAGTGATTTTAATTATATGAAATAAATTACTTTCTCATTTCTCTTTCATTTACAGATGCAGACTCTGAAGTAACCAGTGTCCACGTCTGTGATTTAGATTGACAGTGAAACGTAGGCAGTCACTGAAATGTTCACTTCTGGTGAGGCAAGTGCAAGCATTTTTCAGATCCCTATCTCTTCTTCCTCTTCCTCCCATTCCAGTCCAGGGTAGGACTGAAAAAATTTAATGACAAGAAGCTGCATGCAGCTAATTCAGTAATATAATCAGAATAATGAAACCTTTGGCCCTACTGGTCTAGCAGTTGATAGAACATACATTTAGGATTGTCCCAGTTTTTCTCTGGGCAGAATGATCCATGTCCATTTTCACATGGAGCACAGGGGAAGACCTTGAAGCAGAGTAACATCAGAAATAAGGAAATAAGCAGTAGACAAGTGTAGGAGTCAGCATAGAGCATTCTGTTTACAAAGTAAGGGAAGGAAATATTAAAAAGACAAGAAGATACCGGCAGAAGGATTTATGAGACAGAAAAGGAGACCTCCCTAGGTCTGAGCTGTGATAACTAGGCTTTTATCAGCTGGCTTGTTTCCTGCTCGTGCACTCAGGTGAGTTGCCAGCCTGAACTAACTCCTTCCCCCACCTTTTACTGGCTTTGAGTGTGGTTGATGGTGGCAGGGAAATGGATTGAGCATCTCTACTGCACAGCCTGCAACACAGCGCTGTTCCTGCACCTCAGTCCCTAGGTATAAAAATGGAGATTCATTTATTCTCRTTACTACCAATGATTGCGAAGTATTTGTATTTTATGGCAAAAAAGCACTACAGCAAGGCCTATATCTGTAATCTTCTCTACTCTAGCAGTACTCAAAGTCAGTAAGTGAAATCACAGCCTTGTATTGATTTCATGTTCTGCTGATAATGAATTTGGGAATCCTCTGGGATTAGGTAAACGTGCTGACATAGAACTATGGGGTAGGCTCCTATATTTCTTTTTCACAGCAACCAGCCACTATTGACACCCACATTTTGTTACAATGATGTATTAAAATTCAATATGTGTGTCTCGACTTATTTAAAACAAAGCAGAGAGGAGGATGGGGGGTGGGGAGGGAATGAGATTGGCCTGCTAATCCTAATAAAAGGAAACCCACTCAAATGAATAATTTTATAAACTCTTGTGTACTTGTGCTGAATAAGAAATGAAGTCTCTTGCTATTAGCTTTGAAATGAAGCCTCTTGCTGTTAGCTTTGCTGATAACAGAGCTGCTTTTGTTGTTAAAGCCTCTGTGAGGAAACACCTAGCATCAAAAAGCTGCCAGTGAACCATGTAGTCACTGGTCAAGAGATCTTTTCAGTATATAAATGCAGGGAAACATTTTCTGTAATAAAAAGAAGAAAATTAAATTCCTAGTATATTCAAAGCAAAACTATTCAAAAAATTAATGTTTCTATTCAGGCTCTAATAATATAAATGATCTCTCTTTTTTTATGTTAGGATGTATATGTTGTGTGGTATAAACACAAATCAGCACCACTGT